AGCAGCATCCCCTCACCCCCTCCCCCCTCTCTATTCCTCCATCGAACACGAGCACGCACGAAGAATTGGCTGGTTTTCTCCTGTTTTTTTTTTTGGCAAGTTTGTTAGTTCGTCCCTCCTTATCCTCCCCGTCTGTTTCGGGGGGAGGAAACGGAGCGATTTTCTGTTTTTATCTGGCCAAGATCGGCGGGGAATTTTCCGCCCGTGGGGAATTACAGGACCTCAGTCCCTGTAGATTCTGTTTCAGATTTCGAATTCCGATTTTGCGGGCAAATCATTCAGGTCTGCTCCAACGCATTCTTCGAAATTGCCAGATTTCGAAAGGTCGGCTCATTCTTTTTTTAGGAAAGAATTCTGTCTCTTCTCTGACGGTGGGTGGCTGATCTGTGGTGTTATTGGGGAAATCTATGGCAAATTGTCCGATTTCGTGTCCGGATTTCATGTCTTCATTTGTCTGATGATGGAAGCTGCCAAATCTTTGGTCTGTAGACTAACAATTTCGGTATTTTTTCTATCGACAGGAAGGGGCCAAAACACGAGCAGCTGCTTGGGACTGGTGGATTGGCAATCGTGTGATGTACTTGGCTCTTGCGCCGATCCAACTCAAGCCAGCTTGATTACTCACTCTCGGCACACATGGCGCCATCTGCTGCCGCTGCACCCAGCAGCACCGAGGCTGACGGGGCACAGCGCATGGCCAAGTTCCTCTGCAGCTTCGGAGGCAGCATCCTGCCCCGCCCGCTCGACGGCCGTCTCCGCTACGTCGGCGGCGACACCAGGATCGTCATGCTGCCCCGTGACATATCCTACTCCGACCTGGCCGCGCGGATGCGGGAGCTCTATGACGATGCCGATATCATCAAGTACCAGCAGCCCGATGAGGATCTTGATGCTCTGGTCTCGGTTGTAAATGATGATGATGTGGTCAACATGATGGAGGAATATGACAAGCTCATTGCTGCTGGAGAGGGGTTCACTCGGCTCAGGGTCTTCTTATTCTCCCAGCACCTGGATGATGAGGCTGCATCAGCAGCTGTGCATTACCATGGGGACGAGCGGGAGACGGAGAGGAGGTATGTTGATGCGCTTAATAGCCTTGGTGACATGAGGTCGCCTTCATCTCCTGTGTCAGTGGAGCAGCTTTTTGGCATCGGAGGCAACGAGTCAGGAATTCCTGATATTGCTGGCCTGCGGCATTTGAATGTTCCTCGTGCCTCACATAATCAGCGGTATGCGGAGATGGATTCTCCTTGGAGCCCTGCATATATCTCTCCGGGGCAGTATGGAGTGCCCGATCCAAGGGATTTTCCCATTTCACCATCATCTGCAAGGTTTCAAGTTGGAGCAGAGGACTTTGATGAGAGGATTCCTGATGACTTTGTGAGGCAATCACCAAAATATCGGCATTACGAGGCTCAGTCACCGCCACATGTGGATAACTTGGTCTGGCTTCCACCTGGTGCTGTAATTCAGCAAAATGCTGGCTTCCCAGGGAATTTGGGCCGCTCCAGCAATTTCTTGGATGGAAACAGTCTATATGACTCCCGTTCGTCATTCCAGAAGGGTCAAGGTTCAGTGAGTGATCCTCGTTATACGGATCCCCGTTGGAGGCCAGTCCAACAACATTTTGATCAATCGACCATGGCAAGTGAGTATTCTGCTCACCCCGCTATTCCGCGTCCAGATTATGGTCGTCCTGGTGAGCATTATGTTGTAGGCCAAGATGTTAGACTGGAAAATGGTGTTTATGTCAAAGAGCAAACTGGTGGTCACCCTCCCATGTTCTACAACGAATCACATTCTCATGATAGGTCTTGGCATGGGCATCCCAACCAAAGCCATCAACGGTATGAGGATCCAAGGTTGAATCTGCCTGCTAATGGTAGAGTGATGGATCCGTACGCTGATAGCAACTCAGCTAATTCTGCATTTGCACCCAACAAAGTATATGAAATGCATTCAACATCTCACAGCCGCTCAAGCCATGAAAGTCCCCACTATTATCATGGCAGTGGCCAGGGCGAGCATATGAATGATACATATCATAACCAACAAGTTGTAAGTAGTGGCTCCTATGTCCAGACATCAGGTTTTGAAGAATCGACAGGCCAGCATTACAGCCATACTTCAACATATGGTGGTGATACCTTTTACCAAATGCAGCAGAACTTGCCGCCACTTCAATCCATGAGAAGGAGAGCAAGCAGCCCTGTTCACACAGGCTCATCATATGAATCACCACACCTGCCGATCCCAAATGGGAGCATCAACTCCAACTTTGTCAGAAACACAGGTGATGTTAGTCCAAGGATTCATGGTATGCCTGCATATGATCGAGTCCCAAACCCATGGCCTTCACCCAATGGCAGCATACCATATAGAATCGTTGGACATGATGTTCCCACTGTTGTTGAAAACCCTTCTTCCCTTGGTTCTCGGTCAGGTCCAAACACTGCTCAGTATGTTCAGCCTTTCTTTGCCCCAGAATCAGTCCAGCAGCAACCAGGAGCTCCGTTGGTAGAAATTTTTCCTGAAAGAGCATCCGCTGGACCCATGCTAGCACCGCTTGATGGTAAAGTATCTGTTGCTGCGGTACCCCTTGCTGATCATTTGTCCAGGTTGGACATTAACACGACAAAGAAATTTGAAGGAGCAGATGATGAAAGGCGCACTCAAAATGTGACTGAAACAAAACCTTCACACGTTGCGAGTGACCCTAGCACCTTGGTTCACAATGTTGGAGTTGATCTCCAATGGGGCAAACCTACAGAACATGACGGTGGGGCTGTAGCATTGCAGCAGTGTGGGGATATATCGGAGAACAGATTAAATATCCTTCCAGAGTTTGTTGCCTCTGTTAAAAAGGCCGCACTGGAAGAGTCTGAGAAGCCAGTAGAGGTTCAGCCAGATGCTCGTCCAGCAAATTTACCTGTTTGTGATAATGACAATGATGGAAAGAAGTTTGATGAGGTAATGTCTGCTATGTGTAATACTTGGACAAACACATTAAGCATTAAACTACCTAATGCTCTCCCTACTCAAATCCTTTCATCTGCAGAATACTGATGGAGATCAGGACCCTGATGTGCATGGAAGCTGCGACCAGCACAAAAGTTCTGGGATCGAATCTACACCCGCTGAAGCTGAAGCTTTGTCTAAAGGATTACAGGTCACTTGCTGATCTCTTGATGTGTGGTCCTATTTATTTTTAGCTTATGTCCTATTTATACTTTTGTGTTCATGCAGACTATAAGAAATGATGATCTGGAGGAAATCAGAGAGCTTGGTTCGGGTACTTATGGGTCAGTCTTCCATGGTAAATGGAGGGGATGTGATGTTGCCATCAAAAGAATAAAAGCTAGTTGCTTTGACGGAAGGCCATCCGAGAGAGAGCGCTTGGTATGCATTATTTCCTTGTTGGTTGTCGACTTAAGGATTGGCAGCATAGCAAAATTTCTACCCGCAAAAAAAAGAAGCATAGCAAAATTTCTCTTTACCTATTTCAGGGTGAAAACCTCTTACCTCTACTCATCTAATACTAGAGTAATTTCATGTTTCGTAGAAAAAAATGTGGCTGTGGATAGGTCTCTTTTTTCAAGTAAAAAAGTAATGGAGGCCTTGGCTGCATGTATATGCACTAATAATATAATAAAAGATGGTTTATGTGCATGATTTTTTTTTTTGAGAAAATGATTTATAGATTCGCTGTGGTAATGGTTTGGTCTCATGGAATGCGCCTCAAGTTCTGATTTATTTGCAGATAGCGGATTTCTGGAAAGAAGCTCAGATCCTGAGCTCGCTTCATCATCCAAATGTAGTTTCATTTTATGGTGTTGTTCGTGATGGTCCTGATGGAAGCTTAGCAACTGTTACCGAGTTTATGGTCAATGGATCTCTCAAACAATTCCTGAGGAAGAAAGACAGGTACTGCTTGTTTAATCGAAGAACAGTTTGATTTCTTATTTCTCCCATATCCAAATTCTAATCTTATAGGAACTGCATAGGACAATTGATCGCCGCAAAAGGGTTATATTGGCCATGGATGCTGCATTTGGCATGGAATATTTGCATGGGAAGAATATCGTCCATTTTGATCTCAAATGTGAGAACCTACTGGTAAACATGAGAGATCCACAACGACCGATCTGCAAGGTTTGATGCCCACTTGTTCCCTTCATTGCTTCTCCTTCTCTATTTGCCTAAACTCCTGTTTTTCGAATGCAATACCTTGCTCCCTGACTGTTTCATCCTATCCGGACACTTGCGCACCAGATTGGTGATCTTGGCCTATCAAAGGTGAAGCAGCATACTTTGGTGTCTGGTGGTGTTAGAGGAACCTTACCATGGATGGCACCCGAGCTTTTGAGTGGGAAAAGTGATATGGTGTCAGAGAAGGTAATAGTGCTTGTTCTAGAAGAACTTTTTTTATTTGGCAAGCTATATAATCTGTAAACAGTGTATAACTCTTAATGTTCTGACAAAAAGCTGATTTAACTTTATTTTGTAGATTGATGTCTACTCATTTGGTATTGTGATGTGGGAGCTACTTACCGGGGACGACCCGTATTCTGATATGCGTGCAGCCGAAATTATTGGTAACATTCGAAACTTAAGTTATGTTGATTGCGACATTTTCATTTCCAATGAGACCTTCGTCTTTGTTTAAGTTCTTTTTGGGTGCACATGTATCAGTTTGAGTAACTTGTTTCAGGGCTGCAAAAACATGCTTGTTGGACATTTTCTTCCTTTGAGAATTTCTCTGTATGTTCTGATATGATTTTGAAAAACTTATTTGCGGGAAACTTCGAAAGGCTTTGGAGGGTGAGCTAATGGAAATGGTCAGATGTAAATCTCCGGATGCGTTTCAGTGATAAATGCTATACATATTTATTATTTAAGTGTTAAATAATGCAGTGAAAAAACAAGCTGTATGAAATTGGAATCAGCGAAACTAAATAATAACAGTGCTGTTCCCCTACTTGTGCTGTATTTTATTCAGCACAGGTTACTGCAAAGAGGAGATACCTTTTCTGCTTAAAAAAAATCTAGTCATGCACCTGTAGTAAGATGTTGATGCTTGTTATTGCAAATAGGAGATACCTTTTGTGCTTATCATATATTAGTCATGCTTGTTATTGCAAAGAGGCGATACCTTTTGTGCTTATCAAATATTAGTCAGGCACCTGTAGTCAGATGTTGCTCCTTGTGGTTAACACCATCCTGTGGAATTAATTGTCATGTCCATTTTGTAGGGGGCATCGTGAACAATTCTCTTCGTCCTCAGATCCCTTCCTGGTGCGATCCTGAATGGAAATCATTGATGGAAGGTAGCTGGGCTGGTGAACCAGCTCAAAGGCCATCCTTCACTGAAATATCTCAAAGGTTGCGGAAAATGGCCGCAGCAATGAATGTTAAATAAGAGGCTCAAGTTATTACAACGTGGAGAGGCATGTAAAGAATCCCATGTTCAGTTCCCTGACCAGAGGAAGGCAAGCCCGGAGTATATGTTACATGTGTCTTGGCAGCATCTCGGTTTATCCTAGTTGAAATGAGATTTTATGAAGGCCTTCCATGGCAGGAAAAAGTCATCACGGACGGTTCTAAAGCTTATTTGATGTGAGCGGGTGGTTTCTCTCCCCTGTTCCTTTGACAAAATTTTGAAATGGTTCTTGCAAACGTGACTTCTTCGTTTCCTGTCTGCAGGAGTCATCAGCTGCCATTTGCCTTCAGTACAATATATATTGCATCTGTCCATTCCTCATGACGGGAACTGTTGGGATTTGTAATGTAAATAAATTTTGGCCCGCTCCGTCCGGCGCATGTTAGATGTTGCACGGGACTAGACACGGTTCAAAGCTGGACGCAGTTATCCCTTTTTTTTTCATACGATTGTGTCCTGAGGAAAAGAGGGAACAAACTCTGAACAAGAGATATCCTTATTCAGATTGTACATAGTTCACGAATAAGATTTGCGGGCCGCCTCGAAAATGGTCTTTCCTGTATATATATATATCTTCACTGCCATGATCCCACCAGTCTTGGTGCTTGCTTGGTAATTATTGTCCAGTGGTAACCGATTTGAATGCGCCTCTGATGAGCTCAGTGTGGCCACCAGAACCTAGCTTGGTAATGTCGTTCTGGAGGCAAGCTTACCAAATCTGCACTGTGCTGGAGCACTTAGAAAATGTGTCTACTGAGACTGAGCCCCACATATTTTCTCATTTGCTTATAGTTCTGCCAAGTTAGCATTAATTAATGAAGGGTCCTGTTTAGGTTGCTCTGCTCCATGAAGTTTATGGTTGTACGCTTGCTGTCTCGGAACATTCTGAGATTCTCATTCTCAGTACTGTGCCTGTCTGACTTTCTCTTCTTTTCTCTCCTCTTTGGGAGCTCATTTGACTGCGGTTTACAACTGCTACCAGACCAAGATTACATATAGAGCAGTAACATATTAGGATGAGTTCTGCTTTAACTCACATTATGGTTTTCAGTCTGGTGTGCACCTCCCTGTCTTCAATAATGCAGTGAGCTAGCAGTGCATTTTCTTCAGAGCTACTGCTATGTTGACATTGCAGGCAGTGTCATCAACTCATCACACACTGCTCCTTGTCCTTAACCATCTCATCCCTTATGGTACATCTGTACCCGAGCTATTTTAGGGCAAGCATGGTTCATGTGGGGCTGCTTTAGGGTAGGCATTGTGTAATGCTTGTCTCCACCACTGATTAGCCAGGCCTGCAGCAGGCACCCGTCACAATTCCTCACCAAACCGCACAATTAGCCGGATGTTAGCATTATCTTAGCGCCAAAAACAGCACCCAAAGTCAAAACCAAATCGTCGTCGGCCGTCGCCGCTTTTCGATCTCTTCTGCCCGTCGCGTTGCGCCCCCCGCCGATGCATGATTCAACGGGAGGAGGAATTTCATGATGATAAGAGAATTTCAGAATGGTCCGTATGTATGTGTGATCTGTCTCCTGGAAGGAGCTGGACATTATCCAGGGTTTGTGCGCGTAGGTGACAAGTCAAAAGCAAAGCGCCCCGGGAGAGACAGAGGGGAGGGTCTGCTGCGTGATTGTGATTGTGATTGTGATTGTGTGTGTGGCACATCATGTGTGGATGGATGGTAGGTGTGGCACAGCTGCTTGGCTGGCCGGCCTCTTGCTGAGACACGCCAGCAGGCTATCCAGCTACACATAGCTAGCACTCAAAAAAAAAAAAAAAAGCTACACATAGCTTGTTAGGGTTCATGCTGGCTGACTTGAGCGTGCATGCTGTTGTGATTGCAATTCATACCAGTTGAATGGTTTCTACTGTGCCCGTTTACTGTCAACTGTTCTTGTTGACGATAATGTGGGTGAGTGACTGATCGACGTGCCTGCTTACCAAGAGGGAAGTTGGGTTATCTCAGTTTTTTGCCATTCTCAGGCATGCACAAGTGACAGCTCCAAGCCTTGCCATCACAATAATGTGCCCGCACAGTTTCCTGGACTTGAGGGATTGTGTTTGCACTGTGTTCTCTTTTGCCTAGATCATGCAGGTGTCTTCACGCCCGCGGTTCCGTGTACCCGGGACACTGTTGCCGGAGAAAAATTGTACCGCTCCACCAGATTTCCTGTCAGCATGAATTCATGATTTAACGCCTCATGGCGCTAAGGAGGTTGGTGGTTTCACCTCCTAGATGGTTCATGGTAAAATGCAGGCGCAAAGTTGCTCCCCTTTTTCGGGGAAACAGTTTTGATAGGTCGAAATGAAGCAAATCTCTTCATGTTATCAGCTCCGAGAGGTTGGCAGTTCACTCCCTATCCACTATCCAGTTCCTGACAGGTTAAAGTCAAATAACTACAGTAATACAGTAGCATTAGATTAGCTGAAAGATCTCTGGTCCCTCCGTTTGGGTTTATTAGGCCTCTCAGCATCACAACCCGGACGGAGTAACTCCCAAGTGCCGGCCCTGAATTCCTGAACGTCTCACACAAAAAAGCCTGGAATTCAATTGAATATTCAGGCGTGCCTTGGCGCCGGCCCTTTGGTCGTATCCGACGCGACGGAATTTGAACAGCTGCGTGCGGGGTAAAGCCAGAGCCTTTTCCTTCCCCTGTACCACCGCCAATCAATCTCCTATGGCAGCCCCGGCCGGCAACGCGACGGTTGCAGCGACGGGAATCTCCCAAGGAGATTTCTCCGGCACGACACGTGCCGTGGCTAAGTTAAAAGCCAAGCTCCTTTTCACTAGCATAGCTAGGGTGGCAGCGACCCGTCTGATCTGCCTGCATTTGTACCCGGGGTGAGTTCATGCAGCTGGGTAGATGTTGATGATCAGCTTCCAATGGATGGATTAGCCAGGACGCCATCCATGTGCATGAGCTCCAACCTCCAGCGTGAGCACTGCATTGGACTTGCGTGCGTGTGCGTGAGGTGTGCGCCTTCCTTGTGCTCTTTTATTCAGTACTCCCTCCGATCCATAATAAGTGTCACGGTTTTAAATTAAGATGAGTTCAACCCTTGTTTAAACCACGACACTTACTTTGGATCCAAGAGAGTACATCAACAAACCTAGAGACATATAGCTCACGAAGTGCCCATATATACGTGAGGTGTCACGACTGACATGAAACAGTTCAGAAGGAAACACTATTTTTTTTCTTTCAGCAGAAAGGTGTCCATTTTTAAACGTGGCATGCAAAGAAAGTAAATTGGTGCATGGTCGTTAGTGATGTGGATATCTTGCTCGTTGCTTCAGGACCAAGCACATTCGGTCTGACCCGTAGCAGCCAGCAACCACTGTCAACCTCGCCATGGATGCTGGATAATCAGAGCTTTCTATGGTTGTTAATATACTAGAAGAAGAGCTTAGCTGGACGGTGTGACTGTTCTTTTTTCAACCTAATTTTTTCTATACTTATATTCACTTGCTGGAAGAGCGCTGATAAATTAGGTTGGCGACATGGGCCACCGTGTCAAGCGTCAACTGCTGGCTGTCAGGGGCAGTGAAATTGCAGTGTCAGTGTGCAGCAGCGCAGGCAGTAGCCTTTTGCCATGCCGCTGTGCCATCATTTGCCAATGATACGAGCAGGAGCAGCAGGGGGCGGGCCTAGGGACAGACAGGTGCTCCATCGTCTTGACGCCCGGTCCAATCCCCGGCTAGCCTGTCGGGGGAAAGGGTGGCGCTTTCTCCTAACCGGCAAAGGGCCATGAGCCCCCGTGGCACCTGTTATTTGGACACCGCCAAGAGATAAATATCACTTCTGGAAAACGGATTGACAGGGCATATGTGATATAAATGTGCGTGATGCTGGTGGTGATAAAGTTAAAAGTTGCAAGGGCCTCGTTCTTGGATCCATGTACATGTTTCGGCCCTCGGCGATCTATCCGTGGCTCACGGGGTATATATATTACTTGGCCGCGAATTGTCCGGTCAGAAATCGATGTCACTGGCACACATTGTCATCTCGGCCGTCCAAACTCGTGCCGCGTTGGGTGGCAAGTTCCCCCCTATCCCCTTGTGGCACAAATCATACCATGTACATCACCTTTGATGGCTTTAGCAATGTGCCTTAATATAACCGATGGACGCATCATGTACTTTGCTTTGGGGTACAGCCTCTCTTTAGGTCAAGTACTACTATTATGCGTGCATGGCTTCAAATGCTAGACTCCAATGTGGCTCATCAAAGATATGTATATCCGGTTATTCCCCCACTGCCTTTTCCCCAACTTTTCCCGTTGTGCTCATCTCTCTTTTCCTCTTGCCAAGATTTAAGACTGTGTCAAGTTGCTGATGACAGGCCGTGTATGCATGGGGAATATGACCTTGCAGGAAATGACAAGCGGGAAAATCCCAAATGACTCCTCCAATCTTTTCTCCCTGCTGCCATATGAAGGGGTGCATATTTTAAGCCATCCTTGCTTTAGGGCTAACAAAGTCTATCCTGTGGACTTGATCATGCCGGATTAACCCGGATTGCCTTTTCAGAAAAAGGTGATGTCTCATTCTGGACCCATCGGGTCGATTTACCATTGCTGGCTTCACCTCGAGTCGCTGACGGTGGGACCGATGGGTCGTGGTTGATTACGATGTGCGCATCGTCGTCGTGGGCTTAGCACCTCCGTACGTCGATTACTAAAGAAAGAAATAGAATGTCCATGACTCATCAAACTAGGGTCAATGCGCCAGAGTTCGATTTCGCGCCAACGTGATTAACACTTGTTTAGCGCTAAATAATATGAAATGTAAAGTGCTAGCTTTTGCCATTAATTCTCAACCCCTTCCTGCTTGGACCTTCCTCCTCGGTGCATAAATTTGGAGGTGGACCTTGGCCACTTGTCTACACAGTAGCAAATGAGAGCCAACTAGTTGAAAGAAAGTTAGATGCATGGAATTGAATACTGCTCAACCAGCTAGTCCCCAAGATTAAGTGTCATGTCATGGTAAATTGGTAGCAAAGGAATTGAAGGCTACTCAACCAGCTGCTAGTCCTCAAGATGAATTGTCATAGTAAATCAGGACTAGTTCCCTTCACTTGGATGCACATGTCTTGGTTGTACTTGTAGGCGATTTTGTTTATATCACTGTCCAATGATGATACTAGTTAGTTAGAGTTGTTGAGTATATATGACTGTAAATAGTTAGTTACCCTGCAGCTACCCATGAAACTGAGACATTGTTAATTATTCCCTCCCTTCCCTTTTCTTCTAGGGTACCTAGATGCTAGTACTCTCCAACACACACACACATGACACATGTAGCATTCCATAGGCGAACGGAAATTTCCAAATTAGTTAGGTGGTACAAGAAAACAGGGCACAGCCTGCAGCATGGAGGACTACTGGGTGAAGAGACGGTCAAAACAAACAACATACGTATGCATGAACTCTCTCTAACTGGTTAACTGGAAACCGTGGATTTAGGCAGCATGCCAGATTTGTCAGAACAAGGTACTCCACGACACATATAGTCCACACATATACAACATCCAATCTGTTGCTGTGTTTCTTGTGAATATATTCACCCTAATATTAATTTCTCCTCTGGTTTCTCTACTTTTTCTTGGATCTTGACAGATTCTCTGAACCTTAACTTGGATCAATTCAACAATGCCGGGAAAAAGCCGTACGCGCATAACGTGCGTGTGCGCGCGCGCGATCGAAAGTACACGAGGTTTCCGCGGCCAGATCGACAGCCAACTTTAGAATTTCTAGTTGTTGCACCACTCATGTTTATTTACCGAACCTTTTATATATAACGTGGCTTCTTCGATCGATCCCTGCGGTAACACCACGTAAGCATATGCAGAAAATAACCCAGGTTGGTTTAAACAGAAACTTTCGTAGATGTGTGGACAGGCACATGTAGCCGATGATGGTGAGCTCATTGCGTCGTATACGTGTTTGTCAAGTTAATTAATTTACTGTAGTTGAAAACATGCACTAGCACTCCTCCTCCTGCTTCGGCTAGCCCGGCTACTTGGACCATCTGCCAATGCAACAATAATCTACTCATGTAGTCAATGCATGCGTCGTTTGAACAGAACAGTGGCAATATAGTGGTACGTCTTCAGACTGGGGATGGTGCCCTGAAAGTCGCTGGGGCAGTCTAGCCCATATTGCGACATCTGTGATCTGTTACTACTATATCAACTGGAGCGTTAGGTCTGAACTCTGAAGGGCTCATGCATCTGCTGTGTGATCCGGGGGCATTTGATGAGAAGGGTACGCACGGTGTTGGACTTGGATCTGAGAGAGGAATTCGTCAATGGCATGGAGATGCGATGAGGTCTCGGGACAGGAATAAATCTGGGGGAAAGGTAGGCAGGCAGCGAGAAGAAAAGCGTGCGAGATGAGGTCTAGTAGCCATCGCACACGCCAGCCAGCCGTCCCTAACCTAGGATCGGTTGCGCGCGGCAGGACCGGAGAGCAAGCTACTAGCTTGTGTTCCAAGCATGACTTGGATGAACGCTTCATCAGGCTCAAATGTTTCTTTTTTCGGACCACGAGGGATTTTACACAAGGTGAGGAAAAGGACCAATGCCATTAATAAGCTTTGTCTGGTTTAAGTAGAAGATGCCTTAGTTAATTAGCGGAACACAGGCTAGTTAAATTAGCGGAGGTGAAGTGCATATTTCAACCCAGAACTCATGCCCTAGTTTAATTTACAGCCCTGAACTCTATACCAGCTCTCAAAACGGTTCAAATTACCCCTTCACTTGGCCTAAAGGTGGTTTTGGCATACCTATTTGACCGGCCCGCAGCAGCCAAATCAGCACCCACTCTTTGCTCAAATTTTGACGAAAATTTCAAAGTGTCCATAAAAAAATCTGTAAAATGAACGCTGCCATGCAGACAAGTCTGGGAAATTTTCACACTTTTATTGACTTATAGGTTTAAAGGTACAGTAGAAACTCAATTTCAGCCCCCTTATGTCAAATTTTGACAAAAAATTCAAAGTGTTCAGAAAATATTGAAAGCATTCTGCAAAACTAGCACTATCATCGTGACCAATCTGGGAAAAATTTCACACTTTGTTGACAAATAGATTTAGAAGTATGGTAGATATTTAATTTTAGCCCCTTTTGGTCAAATTTTGACAAAAAATTCGAAGTGTTCAGAAAATATTGAAAGCATTCTGTAAAACTAGCGCTATATCATCGTGACCAATGTGGGAAAAATTTCACACTTTGTTGACAAATAGATTTAGAAGTATGGTAGATATTTGATTTTAGCCCCTTTTGGTCAAATTTTGACAAAAAATTCAAAGTGTACAGATTTTTTTTGAAAATCCTGTAAAATCAGCACTATCATATGCTGAAAAATCTAGAAAAAAATCACACTTTTTGACAAACAAAATAAAAAATGCAGTAGAATGTTTTGGTGTGTAAAGTGACACTATAGTTTTAGATTGAAATCCCTAGATACGTACATGTCCGGATGAATCCAACAATAGAAGAGCACGAGTGTGTTCTCTCCCGTGAAGGCGTTGTCATTGCAGTAAAGGTCATTGTTCTCCATGGTGAAAACCTCCGATTCACCTTGGATTGCATAAATTTGGTTACAATGGCGCACACAAGAACAATGACCCCTTTCTAAAGATGTTTGCCTTCTGCGAGAGTCATCCGTTATTCAGTTTAGTTTGGTATATAGATGTGTGTGTTAGTTGTAACAACAACTCGCCATGTTTTTCTTTTGAAAGGGGTTAATCTCAGCCTCTACATCATTGTGATGCACACCACTGTCTTTATTAACAAGTAGTATCAAACAATCGAGCAAGTCAAAACAAAAATAAAATCAAAATCACAACCGGTCAGTAACAAGATTACATTACATGACTCAAACACGGAGTATTGTTCACACACCAGCCAAACCAATTGAACAATTCCCATGCCACCATTTCCAAACGCCAAGATTTGTTTTCTTCTCGTCAAAATACACATCCATGGTGACCAAAACGAGTACACGCACAGTTCTCTCTCTCTCAAAAAAAAAAAGGTGTACATGCATGCAGAGTGTGTTGGGCAGAGAAGATCCTGGGTGGTGCATGGTAGCAGAAGCCCTGGTGAGGACAGGACCGGACCCCGTTGTCCCTGCGCGGCAGCAACCGTCACATCACAAGGCAAGGCGCGCGGCCAGGCACCCCCGAGTTTCTCTCCCGCTGTCCGCGCGATCCCGGCTATAAAGCTCCCCACATCGCCTTCCTCGTCTCTTCCCAAACCCACACACCCGTCACTACTCCATCCCCAGTCCAACACACCGGCCGCCCCAGTCCAACGCTGCTACCTACATCGATCGATCGCCGCTTCCACTGCTCGATCGAGCTCAGTCGATCTCCGATCTCTTCTCCGGCCGGCTTGCTGTCGCTGTCGCGTCGGGAGGAGGAAGAAGAGGAGGAGGTCGATCGACTTCGACCACCGATCCCACCCCCGCCGGGCGGCCATGGGGAGGGCGCCGTGCTGCGACAAGGCGACGGTGAAGAAGGGGCCGTGGTCGCCGGAGGAGGACGCCAAGCTCAAGGCCTACATCGACGAGAACGGCACCGGCGGCAACTGGATCGCCCTGCCGCAGAAGATCGGTACGCCCCTCTTGTCCCTTCAACCCTGCCCTGAGTACTATATATCGCTGGGCGGTGGCCGGCCGGTGGTCTCCTTTTTCCGTTGTGCCGACCTTTGATTGACCAGCGCGCTCTTGCCTTGAACAGTCGAACCTAATCTTGTGGTTAATTACACCCCCATCTTCCACTCTCTCCTCGATTTGGTCAAGTCTGATCTGTCTCTTCTTTCCCATAAATGGGCCGGTATTAATGTTGCAAGACATGGATATAGCTACCTAGCTACTCCCCGGAGCAACTAGCCATAGCCAGTACCGCCACTGTATGCTTTTTCACGTTTGGTCAATCTGAAAGGGGACACTTTTACATGGCGGATAGATATATTTGTGTCCTGTTGATTTCAGCTTTCGAAGCACATCCACCTCCTTTTTCTCAATTATACACCTTGAGCCAGAGCCAATGTTGGTGCTATCTGTATGGTTCGATGCTGGGGTTTGGTACCCGATTCAAGCTAGCTAGCTGTAGTTTTCAGTTGCAACCAATGGAATTACAGTTAGTTGTTAAACTTTTGAGGGGAGAAAGCTAGCTATGATGTTCCATCCATGGTTTGGCCTATTTGTTTGTCCTAGGATGACAGATCTAGTTAGATGGGATCGATCATCTTGACAAAGAAGCAACTTTTCTTTCTACTATAAAATATGAAACATTGGGACGAAACTTGCTTGGTAATTGCATGAAGAACAAACATGTGATTAAGCCTTAACTACTTTACTGATGCATAGATAATTGTAGGGCATGTGATCTTTCAGCACTATACCTAGTGTGTTACTAGCTAGCTCTGTAGTACTTCTGTGTCAATCATAAGATAATTAATTGTTGTATTGACAATTCAAACATTTATTCTTGTAATTAATTTCCTTACAGATGTGTGTTCTTGCTAAATTGTCACTGAAGATCTAGGTATGTTTGGTTGTGCAGGGCTGAAGAGGTGCGGCAAAAGCTGTAGGCTCAGATGGCTCAACTATCTGAGGCCAAACATCAAGCACGGTGACTTCACAGAGGAAGAGGAGCACATCATTTGCAGTCTCTACATTAGCATCGGCAGCAGGTAGTCAATTAGTTACCTAACCTCAATTCTTTTGTCTCATCGCATGCACCACGTTCTAGTAATTAATCTCCACCGCAAATTCCCCTTAAATTTCTCCTGATCCATCAAAATCACATCGATAGATCGACCTCTTAACTGATGCACTAGAAATGCTATACTAATTAACGCATGGATGGACCATGGATTCAGGTGGTCGATCATCGCGGCGCAGCTGCCGGGGAGGACGGACAACGACATCAAGAACTACTGGAACACCAAGCTCAAGAAGAAGCTCCTCGGCAAGCGCGCACCGTCCCGCCGCCTGCAGCGCGCCAGCCAAGACGCGCCGATGCCCTACTCCTACCTGGCGGCGGGCGGCGGCGGCGCCAGCAGCAGCGGGAACGCTAACGGCGCCACCGCGGCCCTGAGCTCGTCAGCGCTGGAGCGGATCCACCTCCACATGCGCCTGCAGGGCCTCTACAGCGCGTTCGGCTGCGGCGCCAGCAACGCGCCGCCGCAGTGGCCGAAGCTCGAGCCACCGACGGACGCCGTTGCCATGACGACCGTCAGTCACGGTCACTCCCTTGCCGCCACTGACGTCGTGGAAGCCGAGCAACAGCTAAACCCTTCCGCTGGCGCGAGCTATGACATGCCGGTGCCGGGAAGTTTCGAGGAGCGATCCGCCTCCAAGCTAGGGTTTGGCTCTGCTGCCGGCGAGGTCGCTGGAGTGGCCAGTACCGTCGAGATGAGCTCGGGGTCAATGGTAGGCGGTGGCTTCGGCTACGGCCACGTCGACGAGCTGTACGACTTCCTCTACAGCAAGCAGCTAGCTGCAGCCGGAGCCTTTCAAGGCGGAGTTCCTCCGCTGCCTGAGCTGCAGTGCCCAGATGGCGGCGCTGTCGTCGGTGCCGACGAGAAGTTCTCCACGTGGATGGCGTCTTGCGATCACTATGTTCCTACGACCGGCGGCCAGCAGCTCCAGCTCCAAGCAGGCGGAAACTCCATGAATCTGCAGGATTTCGTTTTAGGGTATGATCAATAATAGTTTGTGTGCTACTCATACACACGTACATTTCAATTAATGGTCCAATTGATAGTGTTGATATACTACGCATGTATGTTTCGATCGGCCGATCTTAGACTTGTTGCTTGTTAATACATTTGTATGTATGTATGTGATTCAGTGTACGTGCTATACAGGTTCCACATATTCCCATATTTTTTGAACAATCATATATGTGAGCTCGAATATTTATTTCCATTATATATGTCAGTGGTTTATTTAAACTTACAACTACAAGTGAGGAAGACATGTAATAATAATAGCATGCTACTGTTTACCTTGAATTACATTGGTTTTTTTAAAGGAGGATAACTTGGCCTCTGCATCATCGTGATGCTGGAATAACGTTGACGGTAATGGAGTTCTTTGCACAAAATTATGATGCACAAAGAGTGGATAATGCAACGAGTACGCACGATAAAATGAACATTCTACAACAGCAAACCTTCAGCAAACAGACTTCGCATCATCCACTCTTTCATTTTCTCTACTCATAAGGAGGAGTCCGTAGGTCGTTCGTTCGCTCGTTTGTTAGAGCATCTCCAACAGCCGCCCAATGCGTGGCGCCCAAAAAACGGGTTTACAGCGCGCAAGTAGTTTTTTTAAGGCGCTAAAAGACGTTTGCTCCAACAAGCGCTGTAAAATATGCTGCGAGCGCGAGTCCAGCGGCCTCAATCAAGCGGTCCCATCTGCAGTAGCCCAGAGTTTGCAGCGCGCGCGACCGGGTGCACTAAATATGCTGCGCGCGATGCCTTTTTGATGCGCGCGCTGCATTAATTATAGCGCGCGCGTTTTTTGTGCGGCCGCTGGAGACTCCAAAGCAGGTCCGCGCGCGCTAAAAGCAGTTTTTATACCGCGCGTCGCTTATATAGCGCTTCTGTTGGAGATGCTCTTAGTACTTCTCCCATTGATCGACAGGACTCCCCCTCGATTGATTTTTTTCCTTGTTTCGTTCCACACCACGAGGAAAGGAATCAATCCACCAATTTCTTTCCTATATCCGTGCACGCAACGCAACACAAAACCGGTGGAGAAAAACCACCCAACTACGCACGTCTCTCTGCCCGCAATCCCTAGCCGCCGCTGGTCTCCCCTTCTCCCCCACCTCCCCTCCTTCCCATCGGCTCTCTTCATGCCCGACGTGGAGGGCGCCGCCCGCCTGGGAGGGGATCCTGATCCTGTTCCGTCGACGCCTCACTGCCTTCTCGGCGACCCTGGCATAGGTCCACGTCAGACCACCAAGGCAAAAGCCCCTCGAGGCGAAGAGGGAACAAGAACACGATTTGGATAACAACCACTAGCGGTTGGCCCTCTTCTTCGAGACGCAGACCGGCGCCAATGGCCACCGAGGGATTCACCGAAGTGCTTGATTTCCATGCCTGCTTGCATCCTCATCTCGTCTGGCAGAGCTTATATGTGCACCGAAAGGAACTGATTGGTTTCACATCCCTCTTCCATGTCCTTTCTTTCGAGGTGTCATGCGCTGCTGCAGTCATTCGACGGCGTTGCCATGAGCAGAGAGCGTCGGCGGCCTCCAGCAGATTGGTCTTCCTTTCCTCCTCGGGCGTGCGTGAGGGGTTCTCCATTCGTGAGCCTCCCTTGGTCCATCTCTTCCACGGGAAGCGGCAACATCAGATTAGGCCGGGAACTGAAGGAGACAACAGGTGCCCTCAGCACCATATGAGTCCCTAACCTCTCTGGCTGCTCACAAACCTTCGATTTCTTTTGCTTCAGATCCTATTTTTGTGCACTTCACTTTTTTTTATCTTATGCTTGATCTGAGATCCTAGATAGTGAAAAAATATTCATAGGCAAAAATGTGTGTTCATGACATATATCTGAATGTCTGCCAAATTGTTGCCTTTAATTGTTGTTCCAGTTGAGAGCTGAGACTCACGTCCTCGTGTGTCCCTAGGTGATGGTTGGCAGCCGCCGCCCTGCAGTTATACTACCCCATCACCTAGGTAAGAGTAACCTAATGTATTTCCCATCTATTAACTCTAGATACTTTCTAATGGTCGTTTATGTTCTAGAATTGTCTCAGTTTCCTTGTTCCAAGTTCCAACTTGTAGAGTACATGTTTTTGAAGAGGTAATTTTGTGTTATTCTTATTCATGCACTATCAGAAGTAATGTTCTTTTTTCCTGAAATTGGTCTTTATGTAAATTTCTACTATAAATGGTATGTATCCTGGTAGACGTCAAGAGAAAAATCCACCGAATGACATACATTAAATTTTAGATTACTAGAGTGTTTCTCAAAGGTATAATTGACGAGCAGTACAATTTAGTTATGAGGTATGTGGTGCATGTTAGTTCTTCGATCTATAAAGGAATTTGTGTACTTAGCCGCATGTCTTCACGAACATCCAGCAAAATGCTAGCCTTACTAGCTCCATAATCTGGTTCTTGTGCTCGATGGGCCAAAAGGAAAGCAACCACTTGTTCCTATCCAGATTTCTTTGATGTACATGAAGAATTTTGGATAGAGGGTTCCCATGTTAACAGTTCCTTATTCTTCTCCTACAGGGCAACACCAAATGGGTGTAAGCATTATTAATCAATATTGTGAACCGATATGAGTCAGATTGGAAATTTATTGGTTGGAAATATTCTCGATAGAAGATCATTTTGACCTGTGCCAAATGGGTTATAAATTAATTAACCAGGAATATTCTCGGATATATTTCTCTTCCTTATGTACTTATTTCTGACAGACATACATGCTCTATTTTTGAAGGAGAGGAGTATACTTGCAGGATCTAAAACCTATTAGTTTAAACCAAGTGCCAATAAAAGCTTAGGTGAGCACTAAGGAGAATATTTTGATGTCTCCACCTTTTGAAATTGGTTTCTAATATGATGGTTCCCAATAGGCTGGATTTTTCACGTTTGTGCAACGTATATTTATATTTAGCTTACTTAACATGTGCATTTCATAATTGATAGCTAAATTATTTTGATATCGTAACATTACTCCATTTTTTGTACCCAGATATAGTTACATTTTTAGTTTTTTTATATATAGGAAGAAGCATGACCTTGCTATAAATCATATTTCATGACTGTTGTGTTCACTTAGTTCCGCTTTTGCTGCATCCAGTTATGGAGATTTACAAGGAGTCGGTCTCTAATGACCAAAATTTTCTATAGACTAGATGAGGAGGATGTCAATCATAACCTGGTTCTAAATTTGCGTATGGATTCACCATCTTCAGCTAAGCTCTACCCATATTTTAGACACATGTGTACATTTTTATATATGATATCTCCTTTCTGCTCCTTTCAGTTCTTGCCCGTTCAATAATGGTGGTCCAATAGTTTGTCCTCAAATCTTCATAGTTATATTTTTCTTGAATATGCACGAGTGTGCATATCATATATTAAAGAAGAAAAGTCATAGAAAGCCTCCACCAGTCATTTACAAATGCAGCGATTTCTCACACG